ATGTTGGTGCATACGGTAGACATAATCGAAATCGATAGTTGAACAATCATTCCCATTGGTTATGCTTGTTGCAAAAATAGGATGCATGTCAACTATTGATAAAAGTATAGGAATATATTACTAGAATATACTATCCGCTGGGCTAAGTAAGTATGATTGCTAGTGGCATATGACCACTAGCAGCAGCATCTTAGTCCAAACTTAGTACAATGTGACACAGCTTTTTATGGATAGAGTTGAGAGGGTAGAAACCAAGGCAAGTCCTGATGTGCCAGGGCCTCAAGCATGTATTTACAAAGAGTCACACTCCTTCTTGAGATCAAGGGGAGATGAGTCCCAGTGTGATTTTTAGTCCGCGTCACCTCTGACTAATACTAGCGTCAGAAATAGTACCAGTGCTACTAACACTCAGCTGCATTGTTAGTTAGTAGTAGTAGAAATAGTAGTAGCCGTATCAGTCTCGGCCTCCTGGAGCCTGTCTTGACACCTACTCAAGGTGAGTGAGGTTAGAAATGCGGCAGCACCCGCGCAGAGTCTAATGTCACTTAAGACTAAGTAGAGGTGTTTCTGACTCGCACTGGAGAAAACGGCTAACGCCGAATCCAGTCTGGTCTCACTGACCCATGATAAAGGTATAGAGTGCCGTTGGCGCTAAATACGTCAGCTATCACTTTAAAGCTACCCCCTGTGGCAAGCCACCATCACTGCACCAACCCGTTGGTGCATATGGTGGACTTAATCGAAATCGATGGTCAAGCAATCACTATCATCAGGTGCTGTTGAGGAAAGATGTGACAATGCGGTATAGTCGGAGGTGTTCCACCCCAGGTTTTCGTGGAGGCGCGCCTTTGCTCTAATGGGTCCAAGCGGCTTGTGAATGCCCTTGGCGAGTGCGGACAGTTGAGGCGAGTGCGGTGGGTGCATGTTGACGCGTCTGGCACAGGATTGCCAGGCTCTGTGCGATAGATTCGCAAGTGACCGACAAAGCAGATGCGTCATGTGCATGTGCGGTAGCAGTCCTGAGAATGACCGAGTTATGCAGTCAGTTGAGAATGCCTGCAGGCACGACTCTTAAGAACACATCATGATTGACCCAGACGCCTCAGATTTATTGCAGTGACGAGTGCACTGCTGTGTCCCAGTGCCGAGATCACTTTTTTTCTTTTTTCTGTTAGACACTCGTGGAGTGTTCGGACCTCTCAATGAAGCGGCGAATAGCTTGGGATAAAAGTGGCTGAAAAGGCTGAACAGGTGGTTTACGTGTTTCAACCAGGACCTGCCTACCTCCCACACTTCACGTACCAGGCTACACCCACTAACACGTCTACTACCTACATGAACTGTGCGTGTTTGGACATGAGACGTTACATCTGACATGCCGACGCTGGCAAAATGCAGCGCATGCTTGCTGTAGGAGTGCGGCATGGTGTTCCGCGGAGAGACAATCTGCATGCGCATGCCATGGAGCAGTTTCGACTGTTGCTTATGAGTCTTTGTGTGTGGGGCAGGTGTAATGGGGCCCTGACTGTGTTGTACGGAAAGTTTGCATAGACGAGCTCACGCGACGGCCGAATTATCTGCGGAAATAGGGCTAGATGAAACCGGGGGGGGGGAGGGTGAGGTACGTACGTTGGTGCTCCAAGCGCTGCTTTAGCAGCCCCAGGGAGATGGATTTGTAACTGACAGAGCAGGCCAACGTGTGTGGTCACAAAATAGACAGGTCGGAACTGCTGGTGGGGCCACAATAGGGGGACAAAGGTACCAATGTAATAGTCGGAAACCTGTCAGTTATCCTTAATTTTGGAAAATATTTTCTACAAGAGGAAACCTTTGTCATGCAATATAAGTGGTGATACATGTGAATACTGTAAGACAGCGGTAACTAATTTGGCAACAAGGAAATAAACCATCTAGGATAATATAAAATGCGCATACATCTTACAGTACTGTAACAATATAAACATTAAGTCATGACTACCGCTTAAGCATATTTCAGTGACCACCTATCTCCAGTAAACTCGGAAAGGTATTGCGCTTTCGAAAGCAGCGTTTTAACCGAAGACTAATTATAATAAGATGCAAGTCGTCAGTAATGCTTGTAAGGTAAACGTGCAAAAAATGTCGCAGAGAAAGCACGTAGGTACCAAAAAGTATTTCGTTGATTCTTGCAAAAACTCTCTAATTGTTGAAAATACGAACTGCATCGTGTCCGTCAAGGCTATAGATTCTCTGCACATAAGAGGTTTGTCGGGTAATTCTAGCATAAATTTTGACCAGACTGCAATGGGCTCGTAGTGCGATTGGAATGACTATTTCGCAGATCCCGTAGACGTGACTAAGTTAGCTCACTAACGGACCGTTGGTACGAATCTGGTGAACCTACTTTGGGCGCCTGCGATAACATTGCATCTGCGGCACGTTCGTCTGGCATTTCGAGGCCCTTTGTGGTGCTCCCATCGTGTTGGCTCACCGTCTGAAACCTGGAAGCTCTGTCCGGCCTTCAGCTAATCACAGCTAGGTAACCCGGCCAATAAACTTCAAAGCTGATACAGACATGCCCTCGCTTAAGACCCTCTGGTCCCTGCCCAACTGCATTCGGAAGTCTGTTCCAGCTACAT